CCCTGGTTTCGGAAATCATGTGGCTTAGCCAGTTTGAAACACACCCAGAATCACTGTTTCGCAACAAAAGATTCATAAAGGTTTCAAATCTAAATGAAGCAATAAGAGTTTCTGTGTTCCATTACCACTGCTTTTATGCAGCAGATTAATAAAAAGGAAGTTAATATTAAAAATATCTTTTAGACAGAATTTTGCTAGTTACTTTGTCTGTTTTTGAAAATGTCTCTGAGAATGAAAGTAGTTGCAACCAAAGCTCGAAGAATGATACCGGCAAACTCCTGAAAACGAACTCTAAACAGATTTCTTTTTTGCCTGGTTCTGTTTGAAATGATGTCACGCCAGTTTATTCTTTGATTTAAGGTTAGGTTAGGGTTAGATGAATTATATGATGAATTATAATCAGGACCTCACAAGAACTGGTGGTCTGACTATTACGACTATGATTAACTGCTAAAAAAGGCTTCCAAGGCCTAAAAAAGGTTTACTGATTTGAATTATATATCTACTCACAACACCCAAATTCTCATACAAATATTACAATATACTGAACACTTGCACACACACATGCAAATCGAAATCAAACTCATAGCCAGATTGACAGTTGCAGTGATGGCCACACATGCCGAGTGAGGACCGCAGGAACCGAGCCCCTCAGCGCACTCGTCTACATCTGGACCACAGATTCAAAACCCAAGAGAGCCATTCGGAGCTTTAACTAAGGCAGTAATTCAATAAAGGCATGAGAAGATGACACACAGTCTCTAAGGGAACTCTCAAAGGCGCAGTCATAGCATAGCATGGCTTGATGTCAAAATATGACAGAGGAACACTGAAATACTTGTACCATAGCAGTTGCGTCCATCCACATGGAAGCCCATGGCACACTGACAATGGTAATGAGTGCCGTCTCCTGGCAGGCAGAGAGCCATGGGGGTCACAATGGTGCTTCCCAGTTGAACAGGGATTCAACTCTACAAGCCCAGGCAGCTCACCTGATAACATAAAGAATTTCCTCAACAAGATCCAAAATTTTATGAAACAGAACTAATAATGACCCCACATTGTAGAATTGTTTGGTTATCGGTATGTTCTTACTGCCTACAGGTCCCACTTTGTTGGGTATGGCATATCTAAGGGTGGTTCCTTCTGTGAACATGACCATCAGATGCTCCACATTCACCTGCTGAAAGTCTGGTATGGTCCATGGGCTGTGCTCACAGCTACGGAAACTCACGTTCTGGTGTAGCATGTTGGAGAATGTCTCAGATCCACCATTTTCTGACACCACCATGTACTCTCGCAGTGAAGATGATGTCACAACTGAGCCAGACACAAATTACATTACCCATAATGCCCAAAGAACACATATTAAAGCATTAACTTTGGACGCGAGTGGCTTTTAAAACATGCAATAGCACTATTGATAAAAGACATGAATGTTCAGTAAAGAGTTGCATTTATTATTAATTATCATTGCAATAAACAGTTTTTCAGCTAATCAGAATATATCATGTAGCTTTGCAAATTTGAATTGGCTGAGGGTGTTGATGTTTAGTCCAACAACACTGGGATATTTATCTATCACTCTGTTTATGGAAGCCCATTTCCACCATATAAGGAAATACTTTGGTAAATCATAATAATGATATAAAACGTCATAAGTATGACACAAACATTCAAAATGATGACATACTGAGTGATAATTATGAGATAAAATCTGAAATGATAATAAAAGTACATGATTTACTTTTTATCCCATCATTTCTAAATAAGAAAACATTATGACAATACATCTACTTTTTATGTAACATGATTTTATGTAGTTGTAAAGCTACTTATAGTTAATATAACATCTAAAGTGTGCTATCAAAATAAAGTGTTACCTTAGGAGAGAGTTAAGAGAGGGTTCATGATTTTCTTCTGACAGAATTCTCATTTTTGGGTGAACTCCTTTAAGTACTCACAATTCAAGAAGTGTGGATCACTTCCAGGATTCTTGGAATCCTTGGAATTCCCTTAAATATGTCATTTAGACCACAGAGAAAGCCTAAATAATGAGCAGAAGTATTTTTTATATATTTTGAACTTCACACCATGCTGCTGTGACCTACATACCTTTGTAGTGCTGGTAAAGGAACACTATTAAATTCCAAGCATTTTCCTGAACATAAAGTTTTATCATATTTTTGGTTTTAGAAAAGGATTTTCTAAAACCAAAAATTAATTAAATTTATAATTTAATTAAATTTTAAAAATGTATTGTACTGCATTGCAAACATGGAGTACATAGAGTACCAGAGTTTCACAGGGGCTCATTCCTGGTCCCATCTAGGACACAATGATCGATTTGTTTCTTACAATTATGCAGCTTTTCACTTCGCAATATGTTAACTGATGGACTGGAGCAGTGTGGATTACTTGTGGATTATTTTATTTATTGTGATGATTTTATCAGCTGTTTGGACTCTCATTCTGACGGCACCCATTCACTGCAGAGGATCCATTGGTGAGCAAATGATGTACTGTAATGCTAAATTTCTCCAAATATGTTCTGATGAAGAAACAAACTCATCTACATCTTGGATGCCCATGAGGGTGAGTAAATTTGAGTGAACTACTCTTTTAAGGATTCTTTCATCATTCATTCTTACTTTAACATTCTGTGTCAGCGAGACCTCACTATCTGTGTTGCATTTTTCATAATTTAAATAACTGTATTTTATATCCTCCACCTATTTATATCCTCTGTGGCGCTATCAAAATTGCTTTTAAAGCAACATGACCAGCACAACACAGTATTGGTTTTACCCAAAGTGTGAGTTTGGGTACCCGACCAATGGCAGACTGTCATTAGTTTGACAATTCAATAAAAATTTGGCAAAACTGATTTTCGTTGTAAATTTGATTGTATCATGTAATGACAGTAAAGTATCTTATGCCTTATGTCTTATTATAAATCTACTGTTTTCTGCAAAGCTACGTTGAACACAAGCTGTTATGTTCTCTTTAGTTTTCAGATCTAGATCCGTGATATTGCAGCCTAATGATTGAAAAGTAAAATAGGGTTGGGCTCACAATGATGACTGAATGATTAGCAATGTGTAATTGATTTACTCCAAGAGTGGCTAATACTTTAATTTCCCCTAAATGACTGCATGAAATCTAAAAAGCTTTTTAATTAGCATTAGTGTAACTCCAATGTTCTCTCTAATGGAAATAGAAGTTAAGTCATTGCGGATACATCACCAAATTTCTTGCAGCTCCATTAAAGTGATAGTCAACCCAAAAATGAAAATTCTGTCATCATTTACTCACTAAACTGTTTCTGGTTTGACTTATATTTTATGGACAGAAAATACAATGGAAGTCAACCATATGTTAAGTCATCCAAAGTCAACCTATTTGGTTAGCAACATTGGTAACACATTTTTAAAGGACCAATTCTTACTATGAAGTAGTTGCTTATTAGCATGCATATTACTAGCATATTGGCTGTTTATTAGTACTTATAAAGCACATGTTAACTCCTTATTCTGCATGACCATATTTTAGAGAACTGGAATTGACCATATTTTAGAGGATTGGACCCAAAACTAGAGTGTGTTCTAAATGCTTACATGTTTGAAACTACATGAGAGGGACTAAAAGATGACAACATTTTCATTCCTATTATCCCTTTAAATGCACAGAGCTTTAAAACAGTTTTAGTTTAATTGAAGTAAGAAAAAAATGACCCAGTCCCAGAAGTTCACTTGAAAATGTTCTTTATTTCTAATACATAAATGAATACATATAGTCACTGAAAGACACTGAAAATATTTTCTTTGGGTGCATGGGTTACTGCTCATGAACTGTCCGTATATGTAGAGTCCATCACTGGCATCAGTTTTTCTACCAATGTTCTGGATTCTCTGCAGGAATCTGTATGTCTTGACTGTGGTATGTAAGGTGCAAACAACAGGTCGCTGTTAAGGCTCTTGGCTGTCTGGGTGAGATGGTTGAGTTTGTCTATTGAAATGACAAGGTCTTGGCAATGGGTGGTACTTGGCTAGGATGAACAGCTTCCCTGTTTTCAATAAATTCAAATGATTCAGACAGAAATGTTTGCCAGACATGCTGTGAAACCTGTATATCAGAGGGCAGAATTACAGATTTAATGAAGTATCATTTGCATGAGCATGATAGAGAAAGCCATTAGATTTGATAACTTCACTTGTGGTTTAAGGTAAAGAGAAATTAAAAGTGGCCCTAGTACTGATCCCTGTGGAACTCCAGTTGATGTGAAGATAAAGTGGATTATTTCCATGATAATACTGTGATGATAAATGATCATTGCTTTCTAAATGAACACATGGGCCAACATAAATGAGCACACTTCTTTTAGTTTATGATCTCAAATGGAAAATTACTTGATATTACTGGTTCCCATTTCTAATAAAAGTAATGTATTTGAAAGATATTCACTTTAATTTTTATTAGTTTCAATATGACGTTTTATAACATTTTTAGCATGTGGGCTGTTTCAGCTAATATTTGTTTTGACATAGAAAACTGCAAAATTGTCCTCACAGGTTTTGACCTTTTAATGTTTTGTAATGCGAAATTACTCTTGGTCCAACAAGTCCCTATATCAACCTCTCTCCTAAAACTCGTCAGTGTCTTGAATATTCTCCACAGGGAGGCGTCATGATGCCATGTAGATGATCAACCAAGATTTTATACTCATTATCTAAACTCTATATAAATTAAAAATAGCATGTCATTTGCTAATAAATAGCATGTAATGTAATGTTATTTCAAGTACTATTTATAAGTATAATGTATAACATAAGATGTTATATAATGTATTATTTGTAATGGATATTTATGAATATTTTACATTTATACATAATTTAGAGATTTATTTTTAAGTAGCATGAAAAGGTAAAAAACTAAAATAAACAGATCCAAATCATGTTTTAAATAATTCGATCGCATTTTAAGTCTACTTAGATGTGGTGACTCATTTAGGTGTTGACATCAGAGCATGCTCAGCTGAAACTCCACCTCACTTTCTGCTTACGGTCGTTTGGACGTTTATGGGCTGTAAGTAAAATTTCGGCTTCACTATAAGTATGGAGACTAATTCTTCACTGCTATGATATTTGGTTTTCTTTAAATTCAAATTGACCCCAAACCGGATAATACAGAAAAAAAAGATTTTTGTTTCTTTTTATGGCGCTAAGCCTGAAAAATGTCAGTTGCCACGAGCAGCCCACTGTCTCTGGTGGATCTCCTTCAACATCTGCGATTATGTTTTCCGCCGGCGTCCTTGGGAACGTGGTCGCCCTAATTCTCTTGGAAATACGGCGGAGGAAGCAATCCGCATCTTTGTTCCAAGTCCTGGTCACATCTTTGGTCTTCACAGATTTGCTGGGAACTTTCTCCGTCAGTCCTCTGGTTTTAACCGCGTACTTGAGGAATGAATCTTTGACTGGGATGAGTGACAAACGTTTGGTTTGCGGACACTTTGGATACGCCATGACTTTTTTCAGTATGGTCACTCTCGCCATTCTTCTCTCCATGGCAGTGGAGCGCTGGCTCTCCATCGGACATCCTTACTGTTACGAGAAGCGCATGAGTAAACGCTGCGGGTACATCGCCATCGCGCTCATTTACCTGCTGTGCGCTCTTTTCTGCGTCACACCTTTCCTCGGTTTTGGGAAGTATGTTCAGCACTGTCCCGGAACGTGGTGCTTCATTGACATGCACCCGTCTGCGAGCGTGCACAAAGTCTTCAATATCATCTACGCGTCTTGTTTGCTAGTCATGATAGTGTGTACGGTTTTGTGCAACGCGTCCGTCATCTATCATCTTTCGCTCATGTACCGAAGACGCAAGGCGCACCGGAGCTCTGTCCGACGGCAGCGAAGACACAAGAGGCATCGGTCCATCGCGAAGGAGGTTGAACATCTTGTGCTGCTCGGGTTCATGACAATAGCATTCGTTATCTGCTCTCTTCCTCTTGTGGTAAGGCTTGTCAAAACTCTTTACACAATTTACACACGAGTTGACTACTCTAGAAGTAATAATGCCCTGTTCCTGAACGTTCAAAGACTCTACAACGTCCATATTACAGAGAGCGTCGTTTCTTAACGGTTACAAGTCTGTTTTTAAGTTTAAGTATATTTGTTTATGCACATGAATGAACATTGCTGTAAATGTGCCAGAATTGGGTTAGTTTTCATCTGTAGGCCCTAGACAGACTGTTCAAAAGACACCCTAAAAAGCAAACAAAGCATCTTACGACAACAAAAGGGTTTCATGGTAATTGTTTAACATGTTTTATGTTTATTTTAATTAACTAGTAGACTATGACCAACATATTATTTTCCATTATTACAATTAGGGATGCGCCGATCCGATATTCATATCGGGTATCGGCTCCGCTAGTGCCATTTTTCTCGGATCGGGTATCGGTCAGAGAGGGCCGATCCAAATCCGAGATTTTTTTAATTTATTTTTTCCCGATTGTGCGAATTATTCTGTGTTACTTCTGAAGCCATACAATAGCTTAATGTGAGCTACATATGAATATTTAAGTCCTTACATTAAAGTTCACACAAACTATTTTCTCCGCTGTGGCTGTCAGTCATTCGTTCAGCCTTTTAAGTTTAAGCCCTGGTCGCGTTCGGTTACAGCAGTCAGCTCGGCTCTCTCCAAGATCATTCTGTGTTCCCATTATACTTCAGCACCAGTCCTAAGTTCATGGTTACCAAGTTTGAATTCTAATGACTAAACTTCTATTATTAAATAATACTTGATTATCATATTATAATGCTTGACTGCTTGACTGACTGATATTAATAGTGTACTCTCAGATATTTAAAAAGCCGTACCATTTTACAAACATTATATATGTTATATATATATATATAGTATAGTATTTCAGTCTGATCGGTATCGGCCAATACCGAACCCTAGGTATCAGAATCGGTATCGGAGGCAAAAAAGGTGGATCGGAGCATCCCTAATTACAATAGTCTATCATCTTTAGGCCTATTTATAAATTATTCACCAGTCATTATATACATTACAGTAGGGACATGCAACTAGTCCACTAGTAAGCTTTATTATTATTATTTTTTTTCATCTATAAGTATTGGTATGTATTCCCATTTTCATATTACTATTGAGTAGACATGCACTGTATTAGTGTGCATTCTATTTGTTTTATCTAATTGTTGCATTCTAATTGGTTTCTAATTGTACTTTTAAGATTTTACCTACTTCAAATCAGCCATTCATAATAGTAATAATTACTAGTCACATCACATGTAAAAAAAAAATAAAAAAGCCCATTCCAATGGCAAATATGCACGTTAGCAATAAAATAGCTTGTCACACTAAGTTATTGACTAGTAGCAAATTAATAAGTAGTAGTAGGAAATGAATAAATATCAGTACTAGTGAATAATTGATTACATAGAAACGATACCTAGTGAATTGAAAAATATAACTGTTGGATTACTTAGTAGTGATATAAAAGTAGGTACTAGTAATGTAAAATTGATAGCCTACTAGTTTAGAGGAATGAATATTTAAATGGTTTGTCATATACAGTAGCCCTAAATGTATTTTTACAATGAAGGCACACTTAAAAATGTCGTTGCATTAGACTAAATATTGAACCAAGTTGCATTTATTATCAAGACAAACATGTAAGGTTAGGTTTTTATTTATTATTAGAAACACTATTTAAAATGTATTTTTAGCAGCTTCTCAAAATGTTCACACTGTAACATGTTATGTTTATACTTAGATATTTTGATTTACTGTTTATGCACAACATACAGTTCCACACTGTGCTCTTGTCTCCACAGATTCAAGTGTACCTCAACACTTGTTGCGACCGAGATCGTCATAAAAATGATCTCATACCCCTTCTTTTAGTATCGGCCAACCCCATCATAGACCCCTGGGTCTTCATCATCCTCAGTCCCCCAGTACCTCGTCTGCTCTGGGACAAGATGTGCAAGACCGCAAAGTTCAAACCCACGCAGGAGAAGGTCCATAGCATCCATCCAGTCCTGTATCAGTCAAAGCCACCTGGAGATTCAGAAGGAGGCAGTGTGATGAAAGCCTACACAGAAATTCCTGGAAAATAACAGAGACTGAAGATCCACGTCACTGGATGACTGAACAGATGGATCTAAGACCTGAGGATGAAAAAGATGTGTGGTGCTGCACCTATAATATCATGGAGAATATAATAGAGTATACTTTTTTTTTTAGCAAAGTAAACTTATTTATTGCCTTTATTTATGGAGAGTAAAACATTTTTGTACACCGGAAGGAAAATAAGTGTTTATTTATCAGCAGGAAATCGAATGGTAAATATAAATAAACATTTACAGGCTGAAATGAAGAGCTGTACTTCTTGTTTCAACTGCGTGGGGAATGCGGTTGTCTTTCCTTGTGTGACGACACGCTTAATCAGTTTTGTTTTCCACGTTCCGTTGCAAATACATGCAGGACTGAATCATGTCATAGCAAGTCAGTTCATTGTGAAAGAGCCAAACGGCTTGACTAAACTGTGCAAAGGTCCCACGACTGAAGACAGTCATTTGGAGGGAAGGAGCAGGCTAAACTGAGGAAATAAAAGTTGGTCCATAAAGGAATTGTTTTGGATCGGTCTGTTTAACAATCTCCTGATATTACTTGATATTTACACTGTGAATGAATTGAGGTTATAAGATTGGTTTTAAAGTTATGTTACAGTCAGGAGATCTCAGTATTGATAAAATCACCATATTTTGCATATCACACACAATAAACACAGAATACATTTTGTTTTCTTGGTGTTGCTAGATTTACATTTATGCATTTGGCAGATGCTTTCATTCAAATTTATAAATGGATTACTATGATGACCTTCTTAGAAACCCTAAACAAATTCTTTACAATTATATTCAGATCTATATAAATTGCGGTTATGATCTGAGGACAAGTAGCTTTTATGTAGTTATTACTAGTGTAATATCATCAGTTTGATAAAGAGCTATGGAACAATTTTGAGAAATACAATACAGCCATGGAAATACAAATCAACTGGCTCCAATGTTGTTTGGTTCCTCAACGTTCTTCAAATATCTTCTTTTGTGCTCTGCAGTAGAAAGACAGGTTAGGACTAAAAATGATGACAGATTTCTCATTCTTAAATGGACTTTGCCTTTAAAAGCATTTTAGTAGTCCTTTCTGATTCATCTTAAAGTGCAAATGTTTGAAACCATAGAAGTCATGGGCTTACTTAGTCCTACACTCTTAAAACAAAGGTTCCAAAAAGGGGGTTTGCAATAAAAGAACCATTTTATGTTCCCCAAAGAACCTTTCAGTGAACAGTTTAAAATAATTTCTTTCTTTAAAAAAACAAAACATTTTAATCATCTAAAGAACATTTTCCCACAATAAAGAACCCTGAAAGATTCCATGATGAACCATCAATGCCAACAAAGAACCTTTATTTTTAAGAGTGGATGTCTCAAGAACACTTGAAGCTGTAATGTTTATCAACAGGATCACTGAACATGCTCATTCTGCATCTTGAGCAACACTTTATTACACTCTTTATGACCCCTAATCTGATGATCTTACAGCTCTGACTCAGAGTCGAGTCTAGCAGACTTGAGAGACAGTTTTTATATTATGTCTTTATGTGTCGTCAGACAAGACCTTTCACGGTATAACTTGACAGAATGTCAATTTAATGACAGTGATTGATTCTTTCCATCAGTTCACTTCCTCAAGTGGTTTTGGTTTTACAGCTTCACATGCAGAACTTGGCATTCAGCTCAAGAACTATGACAGATATTCTTTGGAAAGGCACTTTCTAGTTTATGAGAATTAATTCCATTACAGTGACAGAATCAATCTTGCACATCTGAAATTTTACAGCCACTGTTATGCATTGTAGATCGAATAATGACCTGGGAAACGCAGAGGTTGCTTAAGCGGTTGTGTTGTTTCCCACGATGCACATCAGCTTGCGTGTAAAACACATGCTTTTCGTTGCAGGTAATTTCCTGATCTGCATCTAATCTTTTCCTTAACGGTCTACATGTTGTCTTTTGTTTCATTTTTAATTGCACAGCAAATAGTGACTCTCAGACTAATGAAAAAGTAATGGGTGTCCTGTTGTTCACATTTACAGGCAGATGCTCTGACAGGGTCCATGTGTTTATTTAATGTGTTCCTTTAATTAGACACTTGGAGAAGGGAAGAGACCCAGACAGCAGACCGTTTCGGCCCAGATCCGGCCCACATCTGGCCCACATGGATTTCACATGGGCCAGATGTGGGCCGGATCTGGGCCAACACTATGTTGCTGTCTGGGGAGGGATCCTTATAAGGAAAGACTGCAGGGAAACATTTATCTGTCAATCTGGCCATATATTACAGTTCATTGTGTGGTCTCTGTAATGTAGCCTGCACAGGGCCGAGAGATGTTATTTCTTTGATAAAGTCAAAGTATTCCAGAAATCAGTGTTTGCTTATCCAACTTTTGCCACAATTTGTCACAGATGGATTATGGGCACCTGATCTGAAGGGACTATCTGTTGTGTGTATTTTCTTTTGTTGGATTAGTGCTGGTAATGGCTGTATTTATACCTCCTTCCCTACAGGATAAAGGACCTGCTTTGAACCGGAGATCTTTTTCAAATGCCACAACCAAGCTGATGCACTACATTCTGAGTGAAATGTAAACTTCTTTAACAAATAACGTTTTTTTGTTTGTTTGTTTTTTCTGTATTTTGTGGGTTATTATCTTGTGCACGTTATAAAGAAAAAAAATCTTGGTGCTGTGGCACAGCTGACACATGTGCTGTGATGCTGATTTGGGAATGCGGGTTCGAATCTGGCTTGAGTCATTTCCTAGCTTTTCAAATAGAAATTGCAAATACAAAATACAAATGCTGTCTTTTCAAGTTAACCAACTTTGGTGAAATATTCCCAAACATTTAGAAAATATTCCCACACTGTGCTGATATAGAAACCCAAAATGTGAAAAAAAAAAAAATCACAAGTAGTAAGTATTTATTTATTTAATTGTGAAAGTTTTTACAGACAAAACATTCTTATTGAGAAACAAATTTAAGACATTTTAAAATGAGAAACAAGTTCAAGACAAATTTAACAACAACAACCAAACCTTTATGGAGGGGAAAATAAATGAATAAATAATAATAATAATAATTAAATTGGAAATATGGTTCAGGTCATGTTAGAAAGATCACATTTATGAGTTAAATATACATGAATGTTGCCACGAAGTCATTACAACTTTTGAGATGAAGTTTCCGAGGGTGTCTCAGTGAGAAAACATGTCAGATGCAATGTGTCACGAATTCGGTCCATGGACTTCCGTTTATTCACCACCAGAGGTCACCCTTTCCATTACATTGACTCTCGCACAACACAAACTGTTGCATAGCACCCCGGACTACATATCCCATCATTCTTTGCACGATTTGCACACTGCACTGATTGCACTCATTGCACACAGCTGTTTCTAATCACCTCACTCACTATATAACACCCACTCCTACCACCTTTCTCTGCTGAGTATTGTTTAGCCCGTACCCCATTCCGAGTCTCTGTGTTTTCCTTGTTTTGCCTTGCCTTGCCTGTTTTCGCGGTTTCTGATCTTTGCCTGTTTTCCTGGATTTTTCCCTCTCGTCTCGCCCCTGTGATTCTGTCTGCCGATCGGTGACCTACGCTAGCCCTGGGACTATTCTTGTGTTTTGCCCGCCATATACCTGTTTGCCATTGTTTGACCCTGCCTGTTTACCACGTCTCTTTAATAAAGCCTGCAGATGGATCCACACGTCTCACGTCTCGTCAGCCCCGTTACACAATGAATGTAGTGTCTGTATTGATGCTAAATTTGTTGAAATGATTTTTTTTCACAATAAAACTAAGTTGCATAATACAACAGTATTGTAAAAGTATTGAATGATAGAATATATAACCATTCAATTAACAGCACTTAATATAACAAATTCGGGGGAAAAAATATCAGAGCAAAAACAGACTGATGCACATTCTTCATTCATCATTTTAGTTTAAAAATCTTGCTGAAAAGGTCGCCATCTTGCTCCGACCAAATGTCTTGAACACACCCGATGTTGTACTTATGAATTTCATAATTACAAATTTACCACAAGAAATTGAATGCACCAACAAACTCAGCAGTAAAGCACACTGGATGTGTGCAAGTGCAATAAGGATATGTACTTATTTATTATTGAGATTTCCTTTAAAAAAACATTAATGGTACATTAATTAATTTAAACGAGAATGGTACAATAGCTTCACCATGCAAGTACTCTTAGAACATGGTGAAATAATGGTGAATATTTTTCTATTAATAGCAAGTTTTTGTTTTCTTTCCTTTTTGACCTCGTCTGTGTGGCTCCAAAAGTCATTAACATCCTCCAATGCACTGCGGTCACACTGAGACAGGGCTAATGTTCTGAAGAGCATGTGCAAGTGTGTGTTGACATTAGACTCATTCACATGAACTGAGGAAATATCGCCAGGAACGCTTGGACTCACATCAACACCTTAAACTGCAAAAACAACACTGATGACAGATTGCAGAACAGCAGTCATATTAATGACTATCCTGAAATGACGCAACAATAGCAGGAGTTTCTTCTTGAGAAACATTTCAAGGAAGTTGACAGTTTATTTACAGAGTAAACACTGAAAAACCTCATTACCTGTTGAAGCAGTTCTCACAATATTCTGATACACGTGTGTTGAGAATACTAAATAGGGTATTACCGAAAAACGTCCTACCTCGGAATCCATTTAGTAACCGTTGTAAGTTTATTTAGGAAATATTCAAGAATTAAGAGAAGAGGTTTCTGTAATACAGACCCAAAGGGAATTTGTGCTCACAGAACTCCACGGAAAGCTCTGAAGATTTCCACCCAATTTAAACATACGTCATTATTAATCACGCTAAGCGTGTTTGCTTCTGAAATATTTTGACTTTTATTGCACTCTCAAGTAAACAGCAGCTTAATCAGCTATTTGTAGTTTTTTTTGCATTAATCTCAGATTTCCACCAAAATTATTACAAGTCAAAATAACTGATTGGTTTTGAAATTTAATTCTAAACAAATTTAAATAGTTACATTTAAATATAATTGTTAGATCAAATCATGGATGAGCTTTAGTTGTGCATAAAGATAATGGATTTAATATCCCTTAATACCAGTAATCACAAAATGTAGAAATATTTAAGTATTACATCACTAAAATGCAATGTTCATGCAGGTTTTAAAAGACTAGTCATATCAGTGTTCTGTACCTAAAAAGGTAAAGTAATTTTGCCAAATGTTCTGTAATTTACTTAATCATCTTCTTAAGAATGTATATCAATCAAAAAGTAATTATAAAGAATCCAGTAGAAAGAAAGGTCTAAAATTAGCGTGGATATCCAGATTGAGATAAATGTATATTCATATCTCAGTTTTCTGGGAAAATATCAGAGTTCATAAGATTGTGAAAATGTGTCTCTTGGATATAATCCTGAAATATTTTTGTTCATGTTGGAATCTCTGCAGAGAGTCCACCAAACCACTAAATCAGGAATGATGTCCCCAAAGGCCACTGGTTTATGATTTGAATGCTATTTATTTTGGCATACCAGTAGTCAACAACAAGAGTCCATCTATCTATCTATCTATCTATCTATCTATCTATCTATCTGTCTATCTGTCTGTCTGTCTGTCTATCCATCTATCATCTATCATCTATCATCTATCCTTCTGTCCGTCCGTCCATCGTCTATCTATTT